ATATATATATATATATATTATATATATATATATATATATATATATATATATATATATATATATTTATATATATATATATATATATATATATATTTATATATATTATATATATATATATATATATATATATAAATATATATATATATATTTATATATATTATATATATATACTTATATATACTATATATATATATATATATATATATATATATATATATTTATATATATATTATATATATACTTATATATACTATATATATATATATATATATATATATATATATATATATATATATATATATATATATATATATATATATATATATATATTATATATATTATATATATTATATATATATATATTATATATATTATATATATATTATATATATATATATATATATATATATATATTATATATATATATATATATATACATATATATATATACATATATATATATATATATATATATATTATATATATATATATATATATATATATATATATATATATATATATATATATATATATATATATATATATATATATATATATATATATATATATATATATATATATATATATATATATATATATATATATATATATATATATATATATATAGGCTTGGCCAGGAAGGCGTGTGATTTCAAGTCTTTATATGACCAAGCAAATAATACTTTGTTTAGACAATTTTACCACAGTTTTTATTAAATACGTTGAAAATATTGGTTTTTAATTACGTTGAAAATAAATAATTTTGACACGTTTATCTTTACTAGCATTTTTATATTAGCAAAACAATTTTAAATTAAAGTATTATTGAAAGTTGTATAATTTTTTATTTATAATATTTAACCATGTAAGATTAGAAGTAAAAATAAAAAACAAATCTAATTTTAAAAGCTATGACTTTAAACAGCAAAGGTCCTTTCAATAAACTTTATATAAGAATCATTAAAGTTTTTGTTGAGAAGAAAAAAAAGACAAACTTTTTTGAAAACCATTTTAATTAAATAACTTTGATCTACACTTACATTTTTGTAATGCATTAAAATAAATTAGCGCATTTAAATAAAATAACAAATTACTTCTAATGATTTTTTTATAAATAAATTAACAAATAATATATATTTTTATATTTATATAAGTATTTATTTTTTATTATGTTTATAAATAAAATAAAAAATAATATCAATTTTTTAAATAAATGATTAAATTATTTTTTCTTTTATGCGAATAATTGTTATTTTAACACATTAAAGGGATCCCTAAGTGCTATAAAGATATGATCTCAATTGAAAGAACATAAAAAAAAATGTTTGATGGATATCATTTTTTCTAAAACGTAATAATGAACACACACTAACAAATTTAGTTTTCAAAATAAATGATTAAATTATTTCTTCTTTTATGCGAATAATTGTTATTTTAACACATTAAAGGGATCCCTAAGTGCTATAAAGATATGATCTCATATAAAAGAACATAAAAAAAAAGGTTTGATGGATATCATTTTTTCTAAAATGTAATAATGAACACACACTAACAAATTTAGTTTTCAAAAAAACGCTTTTCTTCTATTAAAAAAAATGTGTCTTGTCCAGTTAAAATGCGTCAGTTTATTGACTCTATTGCCTCAAAAAAACGTTTGTACATCAAATTAAACAAAGTTGACAAAATGTCATTATTGCAAACTTATTAGTTGGTAATTAAATTTGAAAGTAAAGTCGCTTTTTTTCAACTAACACATAATTACTTACAAGAATAAGTTTTGTAGCATTTTGTGAAAATATATTTGTATATTAAATTTTTTTTTGTAATTTTTATTTATATATTTGTGTTATATATTGGCAATTCCACGGCCAAAAATGAATAGAAGTCAAATTTTAAACTCTTTTTAGTCAACTTTTAACAAATGAATATTGATGTAGACACATGAAAGTTTATTTAAAATATTTCCTTAGTACAAAAATTAATTTATTTGAGTCATTTTTATGGTTTCAAAAGTGACAATTACTCTCATTTTTGCTTGATAAAAAAAAATTATTATTGTAAAATGTTTTAGTTAAATTAACATTTATGTTAATTTTGCTATATTTTTTGGTTCAAATTGATAAGGTTGAATAGACATTTTATTAGAAATTAAACTAAGACAGGGCTCGAATTAACGCAAAAAATCTAATCGCAAAAAATGTAATCGCAAAAAAAAAAAAATTTTGTGCTCTACCCCCCCCCCCCCTCTCTCTCTCTCATTCTTATAGTTCGAGCTGATGTGCGGTAATGGGGGGAAAAAATTATTGTCAATAAATCAAAAAACATTGTCAAAAACATAATAAAAAATTAGATACCACGTTTTTTATAACTTATTGTTTCTTGAATAAAGGACTAATAAAAGTTTAAATACAATTAAGTTTTTCATTTAAATAGTTGATGTTTTTATTCAATTTTTCTATTTCAAGTTTTTTAATAAAAGATGAAACAAAAAAATTTGGTTTAATAAATCGAATTATACTTCATGTTTAAAATAAGGCTTAAAAACGTTAAAGTAAAAAAATTGCTGGTTTTTATTAGCATATTTATACTGTTTGAAAAAAAAAACTAATAAAAAAGAATTAACTAATAATATATTAATTAATAATTATTATAATTAATAATAATAATAATTAATTCTTTTTTTTTAGTTTTTTTTTTTCAAACAGTATAAAAATGTAAATAAAAGTCAGTAATTTTTTTGCTCTAACGTTTTTAAGCCTTATTTTAAACATGAAGTTTTGATAAACAAAGATAAAAACCAACTTTTCAACTTTTCGCTTTAACGACCTTAAAATTTTCCACGCAGAAATTTAAAGTAATTTAAATTCAAAAATGTTTTAGGTTGAAAGAAAATCTCTGCGCGAAAGAGCAAATCATCTATTCATCTATCTAATAATATATTTTGTGTGACGTTCTTTATGATAAAAACATTACTTTTAAGAATTGCTAAAAAAAATGCTAAGCTAGAAAAAAAGCAATTAAACCAAAAAAAAAAAAAATCGCAAAAAGATTTTTTTAAAGAAATCACGAAAGTGTGAAAAGCAATCGCGATCACGATAGGCTTACTACAGGTCTTGTGATGAATAAAAATTGCGCGACGCATAAGCACGATGTGATTTTTGACGTCATTAAATTCTTTTTATTTGCTTTTCATATTTTTCAACATTAACTGCACCAATTTACTTAATTACCGCAAAACTACTTTAAATCTTTAATGTAGAAATGTTATTATTTAAAAATGTTTTGGAATGTTTCGTTTTTTAAAATGTAAAAACATTTGCTAATTTTCTCGACGTTTGACACGTTTTGTCTAAAGGAATAAAAATCATTTTAACTAAAATTTAAAAAAGATTATAAAATATGCTAATATTTGATTTTTTTTTCTCAAATATGCAATATTTTTCAAATAATTATTTTTCTTTTTAAAAATTCAGCAAGTAATAAACTGGAAATTTTCATATTGTACAATTAAAAACTGTGCAATAGCTAATATTTTTACCAGCGATTTTATATAATATTTATTTATTTATTTTCATAAGGCGGTTGATAAGCACAATCACTCGTATTAATAAAAAACTTAAACGAACGTTTTGAATAGATTTTTAATGTTAACAAGGAATTTTATTTCTAGTAAAATAAAATAAAATGTTAGAATAAAAATCTTATAGGTAAAAAAGAAATATTTCAGCAAAAAAATTATTCTTAAAAATTATTATTAAAAATTATTCGAAAACTATTGACATTCTATTTTTCAGCAGCTGTTCTTCAGCACACTTCGTTGAGTTTCGGTAACTTTTAACAAAAAAGCGATTGTTATTATTTAAGTAATTTTTATCGAGTTACTTTTTACAAAAATTTTAATAACTGTACTTTTTTATTGAATCAAGTAGAATACGTTTTAATATTAATCCTTTTATTCTTTTTTATTTGCGCACACCAATTTTTAAAATGTTTCCTGGAAATTACTCTTAAATACTTTAAATACGTCTAACAGTTAATAAATATTTTTAAATCTATGGAATAATTTTAAAACCTAACAAACCCCTCGTAAAATAATTATTTAAGTTAAAAATCTAAAACTAAAAGAAAGTATTTTTGTTCAATTTTATCAACAACTTTGCTATTGTTGAATAATTTTAATAAAATATTAGCTTAAAAAGATTTAAACTTTTTTTTTAATCTGAATTTTTTTTACTTGTAAATAATGAGCATATTTAATTTTTCTGTAATTCAAACTTTTATATCAACAGCGTGCGGTTTTTAAAATACCTTATTAAATGTTAAAATAATCGTAAATTACTTTATTAAAATTCCGCTCAAAAATATCTTTAAATATACTCAAACAAAATATTTTTTGCTCGACGCAAATAGCCCTAGCTACACGCAAAATCGCTCTTGGACGACGTAAAATTCACATCGCCCGACGCTTTATCGCAAGGCCTGTTAATATGAGCCCTATAAGACTTTTTTATAAGTTCTAAACTATTTAAAACTATTACTTAATAACTTTTTTTAACGACGTCTTTAAACCGAATTCTATTATACTATTTTTGCAAAACTACTTAAAAAAACTTGATTAAAACTTAACTATTTAATCACAATTTTTTTTAACTTGAAAATCAAAGTAGATATTTTAAAGTTGTTGTGACGTACTAACGTGATTTTTAATGACTAACAATCGAGTTTCAATGGTAAAAAAATAAAATCAAAATGGAGTTGGTTTTTCAGTGATTTCGGCAATCGCTTTTTGTTAGCATGCATTTATTATTACAATTTAGTGAAAAAGAAAAAAAACTTACATATTTTTTTTTTATGCTCTTTCATATGAGATCATATGTTAGGAGCACTTATAAACTTATATTTGTCAGAAATAAAAATAAAATTATATTTATAAAAATTATAGAAAACTAAAAAAAAAAACTGCAACAAAAAAAGAAAAAGAAGCAATTAACTATACAAACCCAAAAAGTCCTTTTGTATCAGCAATAATTAACTTTTGGTTGTTACGATGTGTAAAATCACTTATTTGAAATTGCTCAGACAGCGATGAATTTGTCAATACAACACACTGAAATTTACTGAGAAAATCATTTGTAAGCTCACCATCATAAACAGACACTGGCACATAACTATTCAGCTCTGCAAGTTTAGTCACGGTTGCTTCTGCTCTATTTTTTCCAACATCAAGTTCGGTCAGATAAAACTATAATTTCAATAAAAAAAAACACTTCAAGTATATTAAAGTATAACTAGGCTTTTCTCTAGAATTTTAAGACTACTAATCATCAAACATTGAATTTCAAATCAAAAAAAATTTGTCAGTAACATAATGACTGACACTGTTTGAAATACAAATGAATTAAAACAGAAAAAAAAAGATTTAATATGCAATCAGGGACAAACCCAGACTTGTTTTAGTACCGCTGGAGCTGAATGGGCCCCCAAAAAAAAGCGCCTTAAAATTATTTTATCTTTTGATTTTTTCTTTTTCTTTTTACTTAAGTTGTAAACAAAATTTTGACTTTAAATGCAACAGAATATAAATAATCAGAATAACTATAGCGTTTAACTTACCCCACCGCAACATCTTTCTATATTTTAGTCTTATTCAAAATATAAACAATTTATTTTAGCTACTTCATTTTTTCTTCAGGACAATAAAATGAATTAAAAAACAATTGCTTTTTTCACATAATTATGTGACATAACTGTCCTTCGTTTAATAACTGAATGTTAGTTTTAAAAAAATATAAGTCGTTACGAAACTTAATTTTAAAAACTTGTTACAAAATATTATAATGGAATGTATAAAAAGTTTGCTTTTCCGAAAGATAGAACGATTTTAAAATATCCATTCATAGTAAAATTAACTTTTATTTGTTGGCAATTAAAAGTGAACTGCTTTTGATAATAAATGAACAAAAAAAAAATTTCACTCTCAATAACTATCACGCAAATTTAATTTTTGAATAAATGATTTGAAAAACTTTTGATCTTTAGCTTTCTATTTTAGTTAACATGAAAAAAACAAAAAAACAAAACGTCAACTTTTTCAGAAAGTTTTGTTTCTTTTCCATATTCTTTTTGATTAATAATAAAAATAACAACTACAATAACTTAATCAAAGTTTTATAAAGACCTAGTTATTTTTAAACTTCAACGCTTTTAATGTTTAAAAAAATTTATAGTAAATGTAACTTATTTATTGAACATAATTTTTTTTTAATTGTAATTATCTACTTAATGCATAAAAAAGTGAATATTTTTTTATAAAAATAATTTGATTTTTAATCAAAAAACTATATTATTTTATTAAATTATGTTTACCATAATTATCTCTTCTTTAATTATCTTTAATTTAAAAGGCGCCTTAAAATCAATTGTAAAATTATTAACTTTTAGTAAAATTCAAATGAACAGATTTGCTAATATTTAAATCAAAATTTTAAAATTAAAATAATAAATACGTTTATCAAATGTTTATGCTTTTTTTTCAAAAATTTATTTCAATACAAGACGTAAAACTATTTTGTTAATTTTACAAATATTATGCAATTTAAAATATGTAAATGTATTATGTAATGTAATTATTTATCAAAAATTTAAACATTTAATTTCTAATTATTTAAAACATTAATAACTACTAATATTAAATTTATTAAAATATAGTTTAATGTTTAAAATACTTTAAACAATTTTTAATAATTATTTACAAATTAATGATAATAACCTGTGAAGATAAATCCTCCAAATGACAAGGTTCAGGATCATATAAGGTAACTGACTTTACACCAGCTAGAATAACATTTTTGGCAATTTCAACTCCAAGTCCTTTTAATCCACATATAAGAATATTAGATACTCCCATCTTTTTCATAGCATCGTGACCCAAAACATATCTGATTGTATAATAAAAATTATATATATATATATATATATATATATATATATATATATATATATATATATATATATATATATATATATATATATATATATATATACATGTGTATATATATATATATATATATATATATATATATATATATACAAAAAAATTATTTTTTTGCTGAATAGTGCAACATCAGTGGTGTTTCACACTTTACTAAGTTCTATTTTATGTAGTATATATCAGTTTAAAAAACTCACAATTGTCGAGAATATAGTCCCTCGTCGATTTCTTGTTCATTATCTGCCATCATTGTAATCTGCAATTGAATAAGATTAAAATGTGTTCCTTTATTTAAATTTTGTTGATTTCAAATTTAAAAAGAAAAACTAATTAAAATAGATCTTAAAATGTGTTAGTCTAGTAAAACTAGCTTATTAATATAAAAAATGTTTGTAAAAAATTTCAACACAACAAAAATTGGATTTTTTTTAATTTATTTTATCGATATTTTAAATATCCTTAACATAACACTATTTATCAGATTATACATCACAACTGTACATTTTGACGATTATACATTAACTTTTTAACTTTTTAACTTCCAAAACTTAACTTTCTTTAAAAAAATGAGTAAGAACTTTAACATTCATATGAAGTACCTTTAACGTTAACATTCATATGAAATATAAGGTATGTTTGCTGTTTTTTTAGTAAAAATTTTACATCTAATTTTTGTTACAAAAAAACTGTATCTCTATATAAACTTATTTATATAGAGTCATTTAATGGCTGTCCAAATATAATAAATACTAAATATTGATTAGTGATAATAAATTCAAAATTAGACTTCTTTATTTGTTTTAATAGTAATTGTTCTTGAACAGGTAATTAAGTATTTGGAACTGTTTAAAACATAAGTAATTTTTACTGGTTATTTTAAAAAGTTTAATCTGCAAAAAATAAATGGTTTTTTATTATCTGATTAGGATCAAATCTTACATCTTTAGAAAATGATTTTTGATCGTTGTATGTTTCAAAAGAACTTCCGTTTAATTGTTCAAAGGACGGGTTTAGTCGAATTCGTTTACTTGGAGGAGAACTTTGATCTACTGTTGACATCAATATAGATTAAAGTACACAGTTTTATACTACTGTCTTTAATAATTTAGCAGCGATTCTGGGTGAAAATGCTTTACTTTTAGTGTCCCTTTTATAACGAAACACACTGATTCAAATGCACGCCAAAATTTGGAAAAACAAGGCAATCGGCCCTATTTGGACAAGTGAAATTTGTTTTGCGAAATTTTTTGTATATTACCAGCAAAAACATTTGCCTAGATTCCATCGTATGCAAATAAAAATATAAGCCAAATGTTATTTAAGCTATTCATATTTTTGACTGAAGTTCATACAAAAAGTAAACAAAAAATGCTGTGATAAATGAATTTACTTTTTTTATTATTAATTATTTAGGTGCTCCAAGAAATCATGTTGGTTTATTCACAGTGTACCGCGAAATTGCATTTACCCAAGAGGTTCCTTACCAATGATGAATATATGGTCAGAGCCGGCTTTAAATTATAATCCTTCAGCTCTGAAACCAGCATAAGTTTTTTTTTATTATTAATTGATAGAAGAATTGTATGAATACCAAGATCATGTTTATACTAATTTAAAATTAAGATACTTTTCAAAAAACCTTTGTGATTTAGCGTTGAAAAAAAAATAACTATAGCGTTTAACTTACCCCACCGCAACATCTTTCTATATTTTAGTCTTATAAATACAAATTTATATTTTTGGTCTAATGCAGTTTTTTCAACTTAATGCTCGGCCCAGGAAAAATAGTATCAACGCCGATTGCTGCTTTTATTCGCAAGATTTAAAATTGTAAAGCTGTACTCTTAATTTCCGATAAAGCCGAGCTTAAATTCAGTTTGGTTTCACTCATCATTTGCTTTAAGTGGAATAGAGCAGTGCAATTTTTTAGTGTATTGATTTTTTCTCTCTTTTCAGAATCTCTTGCATCTTCTTATGTTCTGTAGACTAAAATTTATATTATGTAGATTTAGTTCGTTCTTTGGAATTAATGAATTGGTATATAAAATTGTTCATAAAAAGACTCTGGAGGTTCAGACTATTTTCTGCAAATGTATTTTTTTGCCAACTCGTACTTCTTTTTTTTTTCAAAATACTTATGCACAATACCGTTCGGTTTAGAGTGACATTATTTGCTAATTAGGCTAAACTAACGCTAGTATGTAGATCTATAAAATTGTTGTAAAATTAATATACTCTTGCTTTAGAAAGGCTTAAAATTTCTATAAAAAACTTTATAAAAATTCATTGAATAATGCAATTGTTTTTCAAAAAATATTGATAAGAATACTTTTAATGTAAGATAAGAATAACTTTCTTCTGCTATTGTCTTCTGACTGTGGTCTTGAAAAAACTGGAACGTGGTTTAACTTGAAAAAACAGAAACGTGGTTTAACTTCAAAAAATTGGAGTATGGCTTAACATGAAGAAATTATTTAAGTTAAAAAATGATTTTATCATTAAACTATCAAACCTAAATTAAGTATCTATCTGTCCAAGAACTATAGCACAGCAAAATCTTGTATTTGTAAACATTAACTGCGCAAAAGAGTCTCGAAAAAAAGAGGATTCAGGTAGAATTGTTAATTTTATATCAAAATATTTTATAATACAGGATATATCAAAAAAGAACAATGTAGACTTCTCTACTCGATTTATGTCTTGTTTCTAATCCTATTAACTATTCAGTTTCAATCTCCTAGAAATTCTCACATCTCAGGTAGCATTGTTTGCTGATGATATTACAATTTATTCTTGTCTTGATAAGAAGCCAATACTTTCTGATTGCTTGGAGGGGGTGTTCAAGCTTGAAAATGGTCTCACTTCTGCTGCAGCATGGGGCTCTCGCTGGCTGAAGAACTTTAACTTCGTTTTTTTTCAGCTAATGATTATCGCAATAATCTAGATCTTCCCTTATTTATGAACGATAATGTACTCGATAGTTCATCTACCCTTCTAGGGTTACCTCTTACTCTCAATCTTTCTTGGAAACCATATATCGAATCAATTTTAAAATTAGCTTCTGCTAAGGTTGCATCCCTTTATTGTGCTTTCCACACTCTTATTCCAGATTATATTTTTTTATCTCTATAAATCTTTAATTCTTTCTTAAATGGAATACTGTTGCCATAACTTGAGCCGATCTCCAAGTGATACCCTTTCTCTTTTTGACAAGGTGAAAAAACCAAAACGGAACCAGGCTAGAGCCGGGGCCGGGGCCGGGGCAAGGTTTGTAACCGGGGCTTTATAAACATTTATACACTCTAAATTGTACTTTTTTATTCAAAATTTGTGTTATAATTTGTATATATATGCATATATAAACATCATTATGATCAACATGATCATCATAATTATTATTACCATCATAGTTATCATGATCAACATAACTATCATCATCATCATTATCATTATCAGGCTTTAGCCTTCCTCATTTATTTAGTTTCTCTAATATCAACAATTTAGAGCATTTTCTTTTCTTAACTAAAGCTCATTCATACAATATGAAAGGCATTCTCTTTAGGTTTTCTTATTTCTACCACTACTATCTCCTGAAGCTGCTACCTCTTTACATGCTGATACCTAAATCACTTTAATCTTCTCTAACAAACGTTGTTTGATACAAAGCTTTTTTTCTAATCTGTCTAAACTTATGCCTTTTGTTCTTGTCTTGTTAGAGTCACACCAAACATCCATCTGATCATCTTCTCATTTCGCAAATACTATACCATATAAATACTAATGTTTATTTAAATATGTAAGAATATTGTATGTAAGCATCTAAATAAGTAGCAAACGTATATATTTAGATATTTAAGAACAAATGTTCTTTCATTATTTCAAGAATCCAAATATAAAAAGGTCCTGTCTGATGTTCTGATGTTGTGTCTGATGTTGTGTCTGATGTTCTGATGTTGTGTCTGATGTTCTGATGTTGTGTCTGATGTTCGGATGTTGTGTCTGATGTTCTGATGTTGTGTCTGATGTTCGGATGTTGTGTCTGATGTTCTGATGTTGTGTCTGATGTTCGGATGTTGCGTCTGATGTTCTGATGTTGTGTCTGATGTTCTGATGTTGTGTCTGATGTTGTGTCTGATGTTCTGATGTTGTGTCTGATGTTCTGATGTTGTGTCTGATGTTCTGATGTTGTGTCTGATGTTCTGATGTTGTGTCTGATGTTCTGATGTTGTGTCTGATGTTGTGTCTGATGTTTCTGCGTAATCTCTATAATCTCAATAATCTTATTTCTTAGGTTCAAGAGACTTTTTAAAAACGTTCTTAAGAGAGATGTTTTTAAGACCGATGTTCATTCTTCAACATTGACGTTGAGAGAATTACAAGAGAGATTGTCTTCAACTGAGTCATTAACTAAAGTATGTTTAATATTTATTCTCTAATTTACAGGGTTTGATTTTTTTTTTCTCCCTAGAATAGAGCAGAGTTATTTGAAAGCATTTTTCCTCTAATTTGGCTCATGAATCTAATGGCTATATTCTTCTTGTCGTACCAGTTAAACAAATTAACCCATTATTAAACATCCAAATCACTCTGGCCTTTCAATGCTAAAGTTAATTCTCAATTAAAAACTTCCACAGTTTTGTGCTCCAGACAAGATTTCCATCATAGTCTTAAAAAAGTGTTCTCTAGAACTCTATTAGCTATTAAAAAGTGCTAAATAAGTGATTTCATTTTTTAAAAACTCTAGAAAACACTTTGACCTCTCATTATCCTACGATTAGTCTTCGCTCTATTATTAATTTCTTTATATAAAGTTTTTGAGATTATTAAATTATTTCTTTCTAACTGCAGTCAGGGGTTAAAGTAAATCGAGTGGAACGGTGTTAAAAAATTCAAATTACTTTCTCAAAGGGATGCGGAATTCAGCTCATCAATTTAGCCCATTCGGGTGCGAAACCATTCCATTAAATTTTTGTGTATTTTTGTTAGGTGAACTTTTGCTTTATTTCGAGATCTCACTTGGTAGCTAATATTACTTAATGTTAGTCATAAATTTTAGCAAAAATTAAAATAACTCTTTAACTTCAATAAAATCAGCGCGTAAAGTGAAAATGATGTACTACTTTAAAGAGATTTTTATTTTTTATTTTTTTTTTTTTTTTTTTTTGTATTTGCTGTTTATATAATGAGAAAATATAATTACAAAGAAACATTTACATACAAAAAAAAAGTTGATTTATAAAAACAGGCAGGGGCTCAAAATAGATGACTAAACGACGGATGACGGATGACTAAGTCACCACAATCTTTTCATAGAGCCCCTATGTGGGCTTTACAAGTTTAAAATAGAATAAGATTGTTAAAAATACAATTGTACAATTCCAATATAATAAAAAAAAACTTTCATAAATATTTACATTTAAAGAAAGAAAGGAAATAGTATTAATGTAATTTTAACAATAGTCATTTAAAAAAATACTGACATTGTTTTAAATATAAAAAAAAAGACACAATTTTTTTTTTCAAACTAAGAATAATGGAATTTGATGTTTATTTAGAAAAATTGCAAAATTATTTATAATGTTTAAAAATTTCATTTTTTATTAGAAACTTAAAGGAGTTGAATGATTTTACCGTATTTAAATGTTTGGTTTTTTGAAATGTGTTCCATAGTTTCGGTCCACGGTATGCTACTCGATATTCAGAATACTTGCTCCTAATTCTAGGCAATTTATAATTATAAATTTAATATTTATAAGTAAGATTTATAAGCATAAATCTAGTAATTTATAAGATAAATTAGGCATTGCGTAAACTATGACAATCTCATTGTAAAAAAGAAAAAAACAACTTAAAAACAAGGTGGAACGGTTGCAAAGAAATATTGAGCAAAGCGGAACGATTTCTTGATTTGTTGGTAAAGGAGGAACAGCGTTCCACTGCGTTCTCCCCTACTTAACCCCTGACTGCAGAACTAAAGTTATTCTTGAAGGCCTACGCTCTTTTTTATTTCAAGTAAATTTAAGGGTACCACAAGGTTCTATCTTTGCTCCTGTATTGTTTCTTATCGACAATAACAATCTTCGTAAAAGTTTTATATCTAAAGTGACTCAACTTTATACTCTTGTCTAGACAAAAAGTCTTGACTTTTTGATTGCTTAGAACAAGCAGCCAATTTTTAACCTGATCT